TCCATCCCTGACCAGTTACGCAACTATGCTTTCGCTCAAGTTTTTACGTATTTTCTTTTTTCCCTCTTTTCCCTCTGCGCAGGTACAAAAGCAACAACAGAAATTGTTTATCCGTGATTTATGGCGCGGAATTTGTGCTTACGTGGGTCCTCCCTGAAGGACTACAGTGTGGACGGCCAAGCACTTTGAGCTATTAATGCCTCGACCGTAGGGCTGAGGGCTGCTGAAATATTTGTAAACTTCCGGTTAAGCTGTGTGTTCATCCAAATGGTCCATTTCGATCTTTTGTTTTTTGTTTTCTCCACCAACATCCAACATCCGATGAGTGGAAATTTGTTCACTTTGACATTTGCAATTTAACTCAAGAGCTAAATTAATTTGAAATGTTTTCATTGTCAGCATAGCATTTTGATATTTGATTATTTTGAACGTAAAACTAATTTGATTATTTAATTATTTTTGTGGAATGCAATGTGAAAGTTTTTCTTTTGTTTGAGTCACACATCCACTGATGGATAATGTAAATAATGTATGAAACGCACATTCTAAAATATTTGTAAACAGTGGAGACCCAAAAGGTTATCCTGTATCTGAAGCGTGCGGTTTGAGCAGGTGCTTCGTTTTATTACTGAATAAAAAATGTTAAAACGAGACTCTTGGGATTTCATCGTCCTCACTTCAAGTCTGTTTTCTTGGTTTATCCCTTTTCTATTCATTTTAAATGTTTGATGTTCCATTGAAAATCAAATCGAGCTCAAATTGCATCTCTGAAGTTGATTGCTTTTCTAACAGCGGTAGTTAACGGCTGAGGGACTACATTTGGTTGGGTTTATTTATGCAGTCGATAGGATTTATGGACCTCAACCAGGCTGGCGATTATAATATTTCATTGTTTGGCCAGAAGTGTTTATGGCCAGAAACCAACTGGCATCATTTATCAGCTGCAAGGCAAAGCCACTTAATGGTAGCGCCTGCCACGCCTTTTGCCCACCAGCTTCCCCCTAACCGACTCAACCGCCTCAACCGCTTTCCAGCCCCTCGTTAGTCGGCTCAAAAGTCAGACCGCAGAGATTTGAGTATATAAAATAGCGCATTATTTGCAGGCGGCTACTGCTAATGCATGATATTAAGTGGGAGCGAGAAAGATGGAAATGGAAGTTGGTGCGCTAGTGAGAGATATTCTCCATAAATCTGGCCAAGGCACATTAAAATATTTCAAAGATTTGAGCCAGAAAAAAAAGGAACCTTGCTAAAGTTAAGCGGCTCCCACTGCAGAGTTCCACACAGAAAATGCTGAGCGTGCGCTGCTACTGGAAAATGGACAAAATAAATGTACAAGATAATAGAATTGCAGTGCCATGGGGAAAAAAAAACAGCTGGCAGGCAGGAAAAACTAAACTGAAAGGAGCACACAAAAAATGCAGAGGAAACACTACAAAAAGAAAAAAAATAATAGAGCAACTAAATTCCTTTTAAAATAGAACAACTGAGTAAAACAACGCAAATTATGTGGCTGTGCAGAGAGTCACTTTCCATACAGTGGATGTGCAGAATGTAAGTCATTCATGAAGTGAGTTCATTTGAATAACTGCTTATGCTGTGAGTTTTCTTGTGGGAATCGTATGAAACATAGAAGTTCTCGTATCTCTGAAGGGAAGAATACGGCATTTTCAATTCTGGAGTTGATTGAGTGAGCCATCAGGAATTTGGCAACTGTGTGGATTGCAACTTATCTCAAATGAAGCCATTCTCGTAGAGTTATTCGAGCCATAAAAGTTGTGATGATTGAGAGAAATACACTTTGATTAATGCTCTATCATCTCACATCAAGGCACTTTCAGTCATAACAACTCCATTTAACATATTCACTCCTCAAGAAGTTCCATCCATATTTTTTGCACTATGTAAGTAAGCCTTAGGTGGAGGGGAAGCATGGCATGTGGCGCATACTTGAAGTGATTTACGTGCTCACAAAAACCGCTTAGAAGCAGATAATTTGAATAGAAGCAGCGACACACAACGCCATTGTCTGCCTTTGTGCGAATGTCGAGAAGCTGCTTTGCCTTTGCAACTGCAACAAGAATAATTGACAGCATTGCTGTACCATGGTATGTGTGCACAGTGGTAACTCATTTAAGCGAAAACTTAACGATTCTCAGCGGTTGGTTTATGGGGGAAAGTTTTTGCAGAAGTTTCCTCACTGTAAACGAAATGAGATTTTGCGCCATGCATTTGGAATTCTGAATCGCTGGAGTGTCAAATGTGTGGTAAATCTCTGAGTGTCATATCTGTTCTTTTGTCTCTCGTTTTTTGTGCCTCGCGGCCCTGCCATAAGCTGCTTTGTAATGCCAAGCAGATTCCGGCACGTATTGGACAAGTTTGAATGTGTGTCTTGACGCATAAGTATATGCAGAGTACATGTGAATGGCACCTAAAGAGTATGCAACATAAATTGTGCAAATTACAATAAATTGCCTCATTCAAGTGCTTGCATATATGGGAATAATGTGGTCATACAATTTGTTACATTTTATGGCACTGCCATGAAATGTTGAACGTGGCAAGATGTTAAATATACGATGCGGAAGAACTGCACTCTGATAAGTTCAGTGGCCTGCATTAAGCTTGCGGTTGTGCAGCATTAGCTAAGTCTTGCTCTTGCTCTTACACAAAATGAGTACAACGAACGGCGTACCTTCGAGGGACATTCCCGAAAACAGTTTAAATGCGTGCGTATATCATCGTTAATGGCAGAACCTTTTCGAAAATGAAGCTGCGAGCCTTAAAGCGCATCATTAATCAGGCAAAGAGCAGACATTCCAAAGAGGAAATTTTTTTAACGCTTTCATATTTCTGGTTAATGAAAAAATGTATACAGGGTTAATTAATTTTAACGAGCTCGAGCGACACACAAGGACTTTCGCTTGGTTCGTTGACTAACGACAAACAATAACCGCGATAATATGGAGTAATAAAAGCGTGGCAAACAAATGCCTGTATATAGTAATTACCAAGTGGTTTTCCATGTTCCATGTTCGACCTTGTGGCCGGGCCGGGCCGACTGGAAAAAAGGAGGAAAGGAAAAGAAAAACCCAGCAAAATGGTTGCCAGCTGGAGTTGAAAATTTGATGTCGTAAATCACACACGTAAATTGTGACACTCGTTAATTTTAACGCTCGAATGTCACTCTCTCCGAGGCGGCCACCACTCCTACCAGACTCTCTGTGTGTTTTGCCATATGCCGTAACAAATGCTCGACATTTATCATCCAAATCTACTTTTCTGGGGCCTTAATTTTCAGACTCGGATCCGCTTTGTTGTCGCCATACTTTTCAGTTAATCTATGACAATTTAAACTTTTTGAATTGAATCAATTAAAAGCGAGACACCACCCGCATTAGGGATAGCAAAACAAAGCGTTTTCCATATAAATTATTTCTCTCACATGTTAAACGAAACCCATAGAAGCAAACTAAATTAATTAGCGCCAAGAGATTCCTCCACTTCTCAGAAATTCTGTGGGAAAGTTTCTACCTCTAATGAAAAATAGGTTAAAAACCAAACAACGGAAACTATAAATAACGAAATACCTGCAAGAGTTGAGAGAAAATTTCATTAGAACATTTTCTTACAGCAAAATTGTCGTGAAAGTTCTGCCACGAATGTGGAAAAACGCCTGAGCACACATGTGGCTTTTATATGTGTGTATGTACATATATGGGTGGTGACTGTGCACTTTGTTATGGTTGAGATATTCCGAGGGGCAACCGCCGTGACCCGAACCAAGAACAGTTTCCAATTGTTTAGTAATTTCTTTTGCCATCCACACTGCCAACAATCGCACAAGGCCATTGTCAAATTAACACTTTAATTTCACTTAAGGCAATGCAGCAACAATCAATCAGTCATTCAGTCACTCAGTGCCTTCGTTTATCAGTCTGTCCGAAAGAAAAAAAAACTCGAAACTGGCGAATCTCATACGCCCATGATGATGACAAGGAATGGGATGACGATGATTGATTGATTAAACGTACAGCAGAGACCCTTGGAATATACCCCATCTAAAGTCGTTTTCTCTGTTTTACTTATGTAAATATTTTGGAAAATTTTTTTCGCCGTAGAAGTTATGCTAAATAATCATGAAAAGGTGCTGATATGGCAGTGAGGGCACACATTCATATGTATAAGCAGAGCTAGCCCAAGGGAAATTAAGAAAACATTACAGACTCCCAGAATCAAATAAGCAAACAAACACATGAATTTTTAGTTAAATTTCATGGAAAATAAACATTCCGAAACACTCCGGAAGGTAAACACAAAGTCCATGGTATGAAAAGCAATATTGACATTGGAAAATATCCGTTTTAAGCAATTTATGGATTGGTCAGGTCTGAATTTATGGGATAATCTAGCATTGTGAGTTTATGTTTAGTTGAAGGTGGTGTGTAACGATTACATATTAGGATTACATCGAATCAGAATCCTTGTTATTTGCATATTCAAATGGGTAAGGCAGAGAAGTATCCAACCTCCTGCAGTCATTGCGTATTAAATGCGGCAATTATAAAACAATTAACTGCTATAAATCTGTTTCGAATTTTAATGCTATGTAATTTAAGGCCACAAACACAAGCACACGAACACAGTGAACTCTCAAGCCTTTCTGGGTCACATGGCGAATACGCAATGCATACTTCGGTTTCTGGCATACTTTGTGGCGGTCCGTGTGTAATTAATTACCGATTCCTCTCCGTTTCGGTATTCATTTGGAAAAATGTCCACCGCTCAACCCACATGCCGGACCCCGAATGCCGCATAAACACCCGGCATTAATCAAGTTTTGTTGCAAATTAATTTGCCAAAGGTTTCTTCGAATCGGAGGCAGGAGACGGCAGTAGGTACAGTTGTATACGATAAATTGGCAGCCATAAATTAGGCTGTAGGGGTTCCGAGTAGGCTTCCGCATAATTGTCAACGTGCTCAGTGCGTCAACAGCTCGATGAAATTAGCACAATCCAATCGAATGCCTGGCAATCGCAGATCATTTACACTTGAGCAGTTCTCCAAGAAGCCGTTCGCCAGCTGGCTACGTGCCAGCCTGCCAGGAGGCTGTATCGTAATGGGTAGAACAGCAATGGGTGGTGCTATAGCTGATGGTGTGGGTGAGGATTCGGCTGAGGTCGTCCTGGCGTCATTTATCAAATTTAATTACAGTAGGTGGCGTGGCTGGGTCCTGGACTCTGGCTCTGGATCCGACTTTGACTCTGACTCTCGCTCTGCTCTCGATTCGTTCAAGTTTCGGCCTCGTTCGAAATTAACGCAAATGTATGCAAGCAAAGTTTGTCGTTTTCGCTCACGTAGACAAAACTTGGGGGACGTGCAGTTTGGCCAAACTAAATGTGCTTATTGAATTCGCTCATCGTTAACTATGAATATTTTACAAAGAATGGAGGAAAAAACTATTTGGCAAATGAATTTCACCTCCTCCAAACTTTTCTATGGAAATCAATATTCCCTCAATTATTGCAGATAATTAAAACTATTTTTCTACGTTCTCTAATGGTACTCTGTGACCCAAGAAATCAGAACGACGTTACAGTCTTTCATAGAGCTCTGTCGCTGGTTGGTTGCAGACCTTATCAACATGCAATAAAGCATCATGCATCATCATGTTTCTCGAATCATGAGCTCAACTACACAGTTTGACTCTGACAAGAGACCGAAGCATCCACTAATGGCTTACCCTTGCCCCGACTGAACCACATACTCGCACATCCATTGAGGGCACTACATGCTTCCCCACCCTGTTATTTTCGGTGTCAATTACATGTTGACATGCCGCCAGCTGCAGCTGCACAGGAGACGCCAATGTAGCAATTCGAACGGGATGGCAGGCCCAGCATCTAGTTGAACAAGACCACTTGTAATATATTTCAAGATTCATGGCAACTAAAACTAAGCAAAACTATTTTCGAAAGCATAAATAAAGTTGTTAGGAAGTGAGAGTTTCTATTTTTTTTGAGTTTCCATAAAAACAATTTAAATAAGTTAAGAAAACTTTCGTAAAATTACTGATTCTGTGAAACAAAAAAGATGAAGTCGCAAGTTCAAGTTTTAAATGTTTGTTGACAAGACTATGATAAGATGAAGGTACTATAAGGTTGGAAGTATGAAAGTCTCGCATTTAGTTCATATAACTAATATCGCTCGAAAGGCTATATGAAGCCTCTATGCGCGAAACTAGGTGCACTTTCCTTCCTGATGCAATGAAGAAGTTTTCCCAATCGATATGGCTTAGGGGAAGATTCCCACAGCCTCAATGTGTCTGCATGGACAGCGGGAAAAGGAAAGGGAAAATGCAGTCTTCTTATCTGTGTCTTATGCTGTTTTGTAGTTTTTATCGCCTGTGCACTTGATTATATACAATATTTGCTTCCTGCAACAGCTGTGTGTGTGCAGCGGTGCTTCCTACATTCTCTGCTAGTATTTCCTCTGCAGAGGCAATTGCAGCTGCCATTGTTTGCCACATGCCACACCATAGGAGGCATTCAAGTATCGGCATAATGGATGTGAGATAAGTGTGTCGTCCAGTCGCAGCTTTTTGCACACGCCTGGCGATGCCATTGTAAATAAATGACAATACATCCGGCCACCGATTGTCAGTGCAAGTGACCGAGTCTGTCGGTTCAATGCTGACCATTTTGTGCTGTAAATGGCTGAAAATGCAACTGCGGTATTGTGCCTTCTGTAGCACAGATTTGTGTGATTTTTGGCCATTGCCAGCTATCGGCACTCAGGCAGAACATATTGCAGGCCACACAAATCGTTTTGCCAGCCTTAACTAAAACCTAACAAGATATTTGAATTCCGGCTTGGGCTGATCTTAAGCAGCTGCCTGTGACACTTTTGTATTGCCAAGTCATCAGCGTTTTGCCTATAAGGTAAGGGCGATGTGGGTCAACAGCTTTGACTTGGGCCAAAAGGTGAACCAGACAATGATGAAGGTTATATTCGTTTAACCAATTGAATATCATCTAAAATGAGGCGTCAGCTTTTGAGTTGGGCTTTGGTAGATGATGTGACATTAAGTTGGACGGCTTTGAACCTTTCTGGAAGAGCTCATGCTGGCTTAGTAAAAAATTGCCTTTCTTATATTTACCAGAAATCAAAATAAAATACAAAATATTTCGATGATATTGCATATTTTCTAAGGGTATGCAGTTTAATTTTATGACTTCTGGCCTTGTTTAAATTATTATGCAAAATGTGGAAAGCCCCTTGCAAAAGTCATAAAATTCAAATTGTAAGGGCGTGAGTGCCGGGACTAAAAGCATCCCAGAGCAGGGAATTTTATCCTAGTCCTATTCAAAAATAATTGTATTATACAATTCTCTGCCTGCAGCTAGCTGAATTAAAAAAAGGAGACTGCATTTCTTTAGATAAATAGATTAATTTCAGATAAAGTTGGTTGGTTTCAACTTTTGTCTAACGCCAGTTATCCTTTGGTTGAACTTTAACCTACACACATGATAACCTCAATTCAAATTTAGACAAATCTCTTTTTGATTGTTGCGGGTATCCAGATAAGTGTGAGCTGAACCTCAACCCGAATGTGCCTGGTTGTTAGTCAGTAGCTAAATCAGTTTATTGCATTACGTATACGCCCCGAGGCCAAAAATATAAACTCCATAAAGGCGTGCATATATGTACATATCTACATATGTATGTATGTGTCTGTATGAATTTTCGGTGGATGGAGCGTCATTTTATTTAAAATTCCTCTCTGTCAAGTTGTTGGTGTTGGGAATGGCATGGCATGGTTTGCATGTAACAACAAATTGCACTCACAAAAAGCGTTTTCCGGCTGCTCGCTTTGTGCATCTTGACTCTGCTGGCTGCCGCTGCCGTTGCCTGCCTTTTGGATGCCTGCCTCATGACTGGCCTGTCTGATGGCTGGGATTGGGCTAGAGATGGATTTTTGAGAATGGGAATTTAAGGGGACCTGCTGTACGCTGAAAGAGTGCACACTCTTAGAGGAGAAAATCAAATTTCAGACATTTTTCTACATTTTCTTTTTTGTTGGTCGGATTTTTTTGAGGTCTCAAAGCCAGCATTGATGAAATTGCATTTTGATAATGGAGCGGCCAGAGTGGCAACAGTGGTAGTATGGAGGGGGGAGGCTGCACACTATACTAGATACTTTCTGTGCCCATTGAATAGAGCAACTGAAGCGAAAGCTCAAGGCCCACGTGGAGGGAATGGGAGAGATGGCTTTGCGCCTGTCACAACACCTGGGCACAATCTTGCCGAAATAATTGAAGGCAATGCTCAGCACAATCATACGAGTACGATGCGAATGAGACAAAATCGTTTTATGTAGCTTGCAAAAGTTTCTCCCGAGTTCATTCTTCTTGCCCAAAAGTTTGCCTTGCAGTTTCTGCTTCTCATTGCATTTTTCCTTGAGCCTGTTTTCCTGATCATTTTGCAAACGCTTCAATTTCATTTCGCTTTGAGTGCGCCTCATTTGCTTTCCATTGAACACACATGACTGAATTCTTTGAAATTTTCACACTCTTTTGCCTTATTTCATTTTGAAATTGAATTAAAGAGTTCGTTAATGAAATTGTTTTCCTTAGACATGAAATAGTTGATGTGTTTGGGTTGCCGTATTGCATATTTGCATTGCAGACGCCGCCTGCCATTTGATAAGTCACGTTTTCGTAATTAATGTCACAACTGTGGCGCCTCCAAAAATGTTTGAGTGGATTCCACAATTGAGTTCGTGACCAGTTTTGCTGATGACAGAAGGCAGCGTAACATTTCTAAAAGGATTTATCGAGCTTGGTAAATAAATTTTAACGAGGACATCTGAATGGTCAGCACTTGAAGGGGGGTGGGTGCTGAGGGCAATGGTGGAATGGCAAAGGCTATGATTATGAATAAAATTCAGACATGGCAGAGACTACCATAGGTCTGCATGAATGTTGTAGTTTTGTTTGACTTCCACAATCCCTTGGCCATTTTTAGTTGAAGACATACCTTAAAAATGTTGATAAATATTTATGGAATGCCCAAGCATTTGCATCCTTCTTCATCCTGGAGACAAATTGAGTTATTACATTGAAATTGTGAAAAATTGTGGATCATTCCGGGGCAGGCAAAAGGAAAAGCCGACATTAGTCAGCATTTAGGACAAACAGACAGGCACACAAGCAAGGAGCACACATGACTTGCAGCATGTCTAAGCATTTGAAGCAAATCATCTTCTTCCCCTTCAAGATTAAGCTCGCACCGACACGGCCTTCCCGAAGCTTCACACACTCTTGAAAATTTCATAAATGGCTTAAGGACGTTGTCATGCTATGATGATGCGAATGCTGCCTGCAACCTGTGCCCGTGCCACCAGACACTCCCCACTGGCCGCACACAATTCAAAGTTGCCATTGCCACTGATGGCTTTGATGACGATGTGGCTCGTTCATTTGCCACCAGGGCTCTTCCAAACTCACTCTGAAGATTGAATCTTTACTTTGGATACGCTGGAAGAAGGTGTTATGAAATGCGTACGTTTCTGGATATTAGTCCTAAAGAAATTACATGAATTACCATAGAAGATGTTGGTATTTAAGGGTATCAGAAGCTTCGACCACCTTTCCTTTAATGTTCGCTTTTTGCAATGGCGGTACTTGCACTGTCATTACTAGTTTTCTCTTACATCTTTTGGTTTTTTTCTCTGCTAGCCGTCACTTGCATGCAAAATTGAAATCATCAACGTCGTCATCAGTCGCTGTCTGCCTGAGTGAGGGCTGTGTTCAAATCAGAACTAAACAGTAATGATATAACTAGCTTAAGTAAAAGTAGCACAAAGGGGGCAGGGCAACAGAAACAGTGGCAAGAACAGCGCACTCTGTTGGCAGTGGAACTGTGGCAGGGCTTCTTGGGTGTCTCAAGATTATTGCTCTGCTCAACGCTTTCGTTTCGTGTTTTCCTTTAGGTCTAACTTTTTGCACTAACAACCAAATAACATGCCGGGCTGCATTTTGCCGAGCTACATTTTGCTCGACGTGCTCTACAGACCATAGCCACGCCCACACGGCGGGGATTTCTTTTCGCATTTCATTTTTAAACTAGGCCAAATGCATAAATCGTTGGCGGGTCTGTAAGTGAAGAAGGATTCCGCTTGTAAAAAGTTGCAACTGGAAAGCGAAAGATAGAAGAGAGATTGGGTTTGGGAGAGAGATAGAGATTTACTAAAGTTTACTGAAATTTCAGTGGTAAATCAGATGAGTAACTCAAAAATTCTTCGAGGTTTGCACCCTCAAAGAGATACTGGCAACCACTGCACATAACATTTGGTTCGCTCTATGCCACCCCAATGTTTGTCTCATGTAATTATCTCTACATTATCTACATTAGCCACATTACTTAGCCCTCCTACCGCACAAGCAGACGCAGTTTGTGGCATTACATAGCATAATGAGCTTACCCTTTCGCCGCCCCTTGGGGCAGCTGTGGGGTGTGGGGCACACATTAGGCTTTAACAATGCCAACGAATTCGCT